GCCGAGACACCCTACTCGGCCTCGTCAGTGCTGAACACTGATGACCCAACAGCGTCTGTCTAAATCCTATGGATTACTCTACGTGGAGAGCAAGGCTTTCTGCACAAAATACTGCACAACCAATTCATTATTGAAGAATGCATCGAAATCCTGGGAAGTACTGAAATCTTGGGAGTGCTCTGAGGTGACTGCTCGCCACGATAGACCGATCCTGCTATACATATCTCGCGCCGAGAGAGAAATTGGTCGACGTGAGTATATATTGTATAGCCGAATTTGGTGGGGAAAGTTGCAACGTGCTGCTACAAAGCCGTCCTCGATCTATTCTGTTACGATTTCAACAACGGTGGGTTGTGCTCAAGCAATTTTGGCGCACCTGGGCAGAGAATGTCTGCCGTTGCAGATGCATTCATAGTGTACGGCGCACTTCTTTAGGCGCAGAAATTTCATCTTCATCGCAAATGGGCAAGCATGAAAGCAAACGTCAAATCTCCCGTGTTTGATTACGAACTAGCTTAGGACGCTGTCAATCGTAGTTGAACGGATGTCCTCTAGATCCGATTTGCGGCATTCTGATATTTTTCTCTACCGCACTTCGTCCGAATCAACTTGCTCACGCAAGGTTTTTCTTCGCACGGTCCGCTGTTCTTGTTAGATGTCGCCATCTCTTCCGATCCACTGTATCTTCTGCCGCGGCATTCACTTACTTCAGTAAGATAATTGTTGTGACGACCTTTGATCTTTTCCTTGGGGCCCCCGTGGTCGCTTGCCCTGTGCTTCGACTTCGACAATTTCGAAAGCAACGCCTTCCTTATTGGGTGGCTTCCTCAGTACGTGCCCACACCGTTGCAGTCGCTGCTCCCGTGCCTTCAGCTGGCATCGGAGCCATCTGTGTGACTGCTCTGACGTCCTCATTTCTGACTCTGTCTAGCTGCGTCCAGCCGCAAGCCCATCTCAGCATCCTCATTTCAGCTGAGTGGAGCTGCCTTTCATGGTTCTTGCAGATGGGCCAGCACTCGCTGCCGTAGAGCATTGTAGGCCTTACCACAGCCCGGTACACCTTGCCCTTGAGCGTTCTCGAGCACCGCCGGTCGCACAGGATGCCAGTGGACTCCCTCCATTTCATCCAGGCTGCGTTGATTCGGGTTTACCGCCTGGTCCACGCTGCCATCAGCTGCTAGGTCGCTCCCCAGGTACTGAAAGTCCTCGACCCTTTCGATGCTCTCGCCGTGAGCGGTCTACGACGCGTTCGGTGCACTCTTCAGGGCTTAGAAACTTGGTCTTTTTTGCATTCAATTCCATTCTCATCGAGTACATCCTGCCACCGCTGCGGTCTTTCATACATCAGATGTTTCGTCCTGTGAGAGACCTAACTTTGTTGCCTTTCTCTTTCTTGCATTTCAGCTCGTCTTTCTGTCAATGTAGTCATCCTTCGGGCTATGGTCTTACGCACGCCGCAGCACTGGGGTCGCTCCTTTAAAGGACTGGTCCAGTTTAAGGTCTTCACGGGTTTTTCCACAACAATTCCGATTTTTAGTCGCTGTAATCCGAGAGCCTGTCTAATCAGTCAAAAGTTTCGAAAGTCTTTTCGCAAATAATTTCGAAAATGGAGCACGATTGTTGTTGACAGCCTGCTATCCAGTATCTGTTATCGTTTCGCCTAGTGCCGATTTTCGAAACTAACATCCCGACCGCCTCCTGCGTTGGTATTTAAGCACTTCGTCGGCCTTATGACTGCACATTCTCTACAATCATGTCCCAGGATCATTCGAACCATTCCAAAACTGTCACTGTGAAACTATATATGAACCGTACGCCACGGCTCACTGTCGCCTACAAAGACAAGCATGATCTCTTTGAAACATTCAAGAAGAGGATGCAGGAACTCGGCATTCCGGCCAGGACTGTGTTCTTTATCGATGACGACGGCGAGCCAGTGAGACTGGTTAGTGCTGATACTCTGATGGACGCTGCAAAAAGCTCGTCGACACTGCGTATTTATGCCCGTGATGAAGGCGATGAGGAGGAGTTCTCCTGCTCCAGCTGTGATGAGCTCAACCGCGGCCGGCGACCATGGAAGCAACAGCGTGGACGCCGCTCTCGCAGTCACTCTAGACACCGAAGCCGTGATCATCCTCGTGAGAGTCGATCTCATTCCAGGGACCGCTCTACAAGTGGCGATTCTCGTAGATGTCATCGACATCGCCATAGTTCTCATCATGGCCCCTATCTTTTCTCCGACTACTTCACTTACCCCATGACGGACTCACGCTTCGGTCTCTGGCAACCTTTCGGCTACGGTGCTCGCGGTGGTGTTGGAGGCCATAGAGGTTTTGTCGGTCGTGGAGGTTTTGGCACTCGCGGTGCTGGTCGTGGTCGTGGCTTGTATTAAGCTTAACTTTTATTGGATTTCCCGTTCTCCTTATTCCAGCAAGATTCCATGACAACGTGGTACATAAATTAGTGCAGTAATTTGTCGTCTTTTCCTGTCCACTTAGTTGTTGCAAGTTTACCGCATCATGCTTTGGTTGTATTTATAGGAAAAAATCAATAAATATTGATGGAATTCGCATTATGTTATGTACGATAGTCTTTCTCCCCAGCGTTAGTCACCCCGTCGAACGGTCCGCTGTTCTGGTGGGACGCATCATGTGTTCCGATCCACTGCACCTTCTGCCGTGGCATTCACTCAGTGAGGTCTCTCTAGGAGGCGTCCCTCATCCTTCTTCAAAGTAGAGGGCAAGCAACCACGAGGAGCACTTCGTGGTCGCTTGCCCTCTACTTCGAATTCCAATGCCTTCCTTATTGGGTGGTCTTCAGGCCTCCTCAGCACGTGCCCATACCATCGCAGTCGCTGCTCTCGTGCCTTCAGCTGGATCGGAGCCGTCTGTGTGACCGCTCTGACGTCCTCGTTTCTGACTCTGTCGAGTCGTGTCCAGCCGCAGGCCCATCTCAGCATCCTCATTTCAGCTGAGTGGAGCTGCCTTTCATGGTTCTTGCAGATGGGCCAGCATTCACTGCCGTAGAGCATTGCAGGCCTTACCACTGCCTGGTACACCTTGTCCTGAGCGTTTCCGAGCACCGCCGTCGCAGAGGATGCCGGTCGACTCCCTCCAATTCATCCAGGCTGGGTTGATTCGGACCTTCACCGCCTGCTAGATCGCTCCCCTGGTACTGAGAGTCCTCGACCCCTCCGATGCTTTCGCCGCGGCGGTCCAAGATGGGTTCGGTGCACTCTTCAGAGGTCAGAAACTTGGCGCTTTATATTCATTCCATTCTCAGCGAGCACACATCCTGAAGTCGCTGCTGTCCTTCATTCATAAAGGCAGATGTTACGAGTTGCCTTCGTTCTGTGAGGGACCCGATTTTGTTTCCTTGCTTGCCTTCCAACTCTTCCTCCTGTTCTGTCATCCCTTGTCTGTCATCCACACACGCAGTAGTGTGTCGCTCCTTCAAACTGGTCCAACGGTGAGACTTTCGGCATGTTGCGCACGTTTTTCCTCGCACGTAAGTCCTAACGTCGAAAAATACACAGGTGGACCAAGCTGCCAACAAATTACAAGCGCAGATACCTTCGACCCGTAGAGGAAGAGTAGAACTCTTAAGGTGAAAGGCAGAGCCAGCTAGAGAGATTTCTCATGTCCTCTATTAGTTGTAGTATCACATGATCCTAAAGGAACGCTCCGCGTGGATCCGATAAACAAACTCCTTCTGTGAACATGGCGGATATTTCCTTATGCAGAGTGATGTTCCACTCTCGCAGCACGAAAATACCCGAGGAGTGCGCAACACTCTTCCGAGGAATCCACTGCCCCGCCCAGTGCCCATTGCAGCGCCCAACTTCTGTTGCTAAAAAGTGCCTGGTGGCGCGGTTTGCTCCGTTATTGCTCTCAGGTGCTAAAGAGAAAGGGCAGACATCAACAAGTGAGAAGTCGTCCAACCACGCCCTCTTTTCGCTTTATGCACGTACAAGCGCGGTTCAGGTCGGGAATGGGGCATTGTGGAAGGTTCTTTCTCTGTTTTTCCTTCACTTTCGTGTTATATACCGTGTTGTCTCTAGTAATTGAGCCGCACAACTCACCATTGTTGGACGCAGGACGCGCGTTTGGAAAATTTTCGTTTTTTTCTGACTTGTTCTCTCTCATCGCCTTTTACAACACTTTCTGTTCTCTAACTTATAATATTTCTGGGCATCTACTATTTCAGTTTAGTCTTAGTGTGTTACTTTTCTCTCACTATACTACTTCCTTTCTGATTATCGTGATCAGCTTTCCAACACCTTCTGAAAAGAACCAAGGATGGCTGCTGATCTCAGGGATCGATAGCGGCACCCAAAAAAGCAAAGACATCTTCTGAACAACTTGACACATAAAAACTCTCTGGTAAGGTAGGTAGAGTGAGAGTTACGATAACTGGTTAGACCTTCAGTGCAGCAGCATATCCCTTTTTCTTGTGCTCGACCACGTAGATCGTATTGAAGCAGCGTTCTGGCTCGATTGGTCGAATCACTTTCCAGTTTCCGATCACTTCGCCCTGAACGAAAAACGGTCTGCAGATCTCACTTAGATGATTTTCAACTTATCGTCGGTTACTTTCATGCTACTTCCCAAACAGCACGCTTCTCTGCGGAAAACTCGTCGAATCATTCTTCCCTATTCTGTTTGTAAGCTGCATGGGAACTCTGTACGTTACGGATCCTCTACGGGAATGAAGAAGAACTTAAAGGCCAAACGTACATTTCACAACAGCGAGGGCGAACGGTCGCGTCGCAGTCATTGCTCTGGGGCGCTTTGAATGTGGCGGGAGCAGCTAGGTGCTCCTTTACTTTGCAAATATCTTTTACCTTGTAAATAGAATTTGTGCCCGGCTTTCTCGCCTTTACATGTGACGAAAACTCGTTCCAGTTTTTTCTACGCTGTTGCTGATCATGACTTCTACTCGTTAGATTTTACAATTTATTGTTCTTTCTCTTCAAACGTTAATTGCCATGTAATGTATGCTGAACTAGCAATAAGTCCGAGCAACAGTAAGAGTTTCATTCTACAATGTAGGGCAAGAGCCTCAAGTAATCCAGTGCTCCTTTACTTTGCAAATATCTTTTACCTTGTAAATAGACTTCGTGCCCGGCTTTCTCACCTTTACATGTGACGAAAACTCGTTCCAGTTTTATCTACGCTGTTGCTGATCATGGCTTCTACTCGTTAGGATTTATCGAGATTTTAGATTATCACTTCCTGCAAGAGTGCACGACCATTTTGCGAAATTTGACGCCACGGCAAAAAGCGACTTGTCTTGTGCACATGGACTATTGCAATGGCTTCGATTTCAGAACATGGAGTCTTTGTCCTGTTCGCTTTGTGGGACTGTTATGTCATCTTTCAATAATTATTTGCAACACTTGCGTCGTAATCACGGAGATATCGGAGCCCAAACAGCATCGGCCCTAGTAAAAGAGAGAAAGGATGTTTGTGATAAACGCGAACCGCCCGCCGACACGCTGGATGCTCCAATCGACTGGCTCCAATGTGACAACTGTCTCACATGGGTGCATCTACAGTGCATAAGCACAAGAGAATGCGCCTGCTGCGGTGCAGGATTCCTTGAAATGGCGCATTATGGAGGTTCAGATGTGAGTTGGAACCTCATACGTAACAAGAAAATAAGTCCTACTCAATATTGTCTGTATTAGGAAACATGCGTCTTTTTTAGGATCTCATTCAAGAAGACCAAGAGAACCAGATGTTGAAACATGCAGTGTGTGATATTTTAGATGGCGAATGAAGAACTCCACACGAAAATTAGAAGTCAACATGCAGCGTTTGATCCTTGGGGGGGGGGTGGGGGTGAATGAGGAACTCCGTATGAAAACTAGAAGTTGAAACATGCAGTGCTTGATTATTGGACGGTGAATGTAGGACTCACAATGAGTCTGGAAGTTGAAAGCATGCAAGTGTTTTGATATGTTCAGAAGGTGAATAGTTTCAGCAATATGTGTTTTACTTCTCCCGTTCGTAACCACTCATAGTGAGTCCATAGGCTACAATCCTACTATATTATAATCGCTAAGTTTGTCTGTTGGTAGTGAGTGTGTGTGTGTAATTTTTGTGTGTGTGTTTGACCGGAAATTCCATAACCTTTCTCAAAGTACGATAGAAGAGCGCTCAAACTCTATAAGTGATGTAGGGGTCGGGCAGGAACACTATTGGTAGGTGGCAGGAACTGATAAGATCTGATAAGATACCACAGGGGGTCTTAGAAGGGGAGGCAATTCATAGCGTCGGCCAGAGTAACGACCGGACGTTGGATCCAAGTAGCAACATAGGGGGCAGGATGGGAACATTATTGGTGGGTGGCAGGAAGTGATAACCGCTGATAAGATACCATGAGGAGCCTTAAGAAGAGTTGGGTTAACCAACCCATGCAGCCGGCCAGAGTAACGGCCGGGCGTTGGATCCAAGTAGAGAGATAGGGGGCAGGATGGGAACATTTTCGGTGGGTGGCAGGAACTGATAAGAGCTGATAAGATAGCACAGGGGTTCTAGAAGGGGAGGGTCACCAAGTTCATAGCACCGGCCAGAGCAACGACGGGACCTTGGATCCAAGTAGTAAGACAGGGGGCAGGATGGGAACATTATTGGTGGTGGCGGCAGCAGTGATAATGCTGATAAGATACCATAATAGGCCTTACAAAAGGAAGCTCAACAACATTATAAATTGCGCCACAGCGACGGTAAGGTGTCGTTTCCACGATAGGGGGCAGGATGGGAACCTTATCGGTGGGTGGCAGGACGTTATAACAGCTGATAGGACACAACAGCCCTTAACAACACGAGTCGTAGCAACACGAACTACCCTCCAGCAAGTGATTCAGACGTTTTTAGCGAACATGGTGGGAGACTTTGGTGGCAAGAGACATGTTGTGATACTGCTCCTGACAAGGGCTTAGAGTTAGTATCTGTCCCCCTCCCTACTCTGCTTGCGATTGAGCTTCACCACTGTGGTCCAGGATCGAAGCGGAGGAGGAGGCTTGTGAGCCAGGCAGCGCTTCTATCCTTGAGCTATATAGACCAAATTGATTCTACCGCTAAACTCTAAAGATTCTTCCAAAAGTAAAAGCTAAAGATGTTTGTCAGTGAGGAGTGATAAGGGCCACCAGCAGACGGACTGAAAGCTGCTCAACGGAAACGCTAGGAAATAAGTAGCTTCCACCAAGACTTGGATAATGTTACCACCGAAACTTCTTTCAACCGTTAAGGATTGCGCCCTACTTTCCATCAAATGGTGGGTTGTTTCCAGAAACGGATAAGCATCAGACCAGTTGGCAATTGTTCAATCTAAATAAGGTGAAATATGGTGGCAGTGAAACCGTACTGATTGAGACATGGAAATCAA